CTTATTGAGTTATGCATACTCATTACTCTTATTTCAGATGCTTTGAGGCGGGAACCGAAAATGGAGAGCTTGGCAATGGAGCACCGGGCTTAAAAGTAACAAGATATTCTCAATCATGATGAGACATAATAGTACACTTTCAGTACTGGAATAGTGTTGGAACTTCTGTGTATGGTGATAATTGAATAGTTTCTTTTATTATAGAGTTATTTATTGTACGAGAATTAATTTCTTTTTGAACTAATGGATATGTGTGGTTTGGTTAGAGAATTATAAATATTTTGTTTGGGGTGGAAGAATGAATAGTGTATAATTATATAGTAGAAATCGTTTATAGAGTGTCACAAAAGTTGTACTAAAATTATTTATTTTAGATAGTATTAATAAGTATCAAACGTTTTAGTAAGATAGTTATATATTAACAATTTGCTTTGTCCTAAGAATGTCTTCCTTAAATAATTGACTCTCCACCTCAAAACTAAGCTTGAAGCTAGCCTAAATTTTGATCTACTATAATTTTCATATCCATCGAGTTTGAGAAAATTTTATGTTATGCAAGCATAAAATAATTAGACAATTAATAGTCGAAAACATATATATATTTTTGGTGCCTAAAAATACTCACACACATATATATATACAAACTAAATTTTCCTTTAGGTATATGAATATGTTTTTGGTGTTTATTTTTAAAATTCATGTACATTATTACTAGTATGCAAATATAATACGACATAATAAAAAAATTATATTAAAAATATTTTTTATGTTTTAAACATTATATGCATATTCACCATATATTTTTTACGTATTATTTTTACTTTTAAAAATTACTCTCATATATATATGAAATTAGAAATAAAAAAATATATTGTAAATTTATATATTTTATTAATTAAAAAATATATGACTAAATATTCGATTCATACTTAAACAAAAATAAAAAATAATTATTAAATAAATATTTTAGTATAACTGTATTACTGCATACAAAATGAACATAAGACAACTAAAGACTATAACAACCAAATTCTGGTCATTGAAGTATCTAATTTGGCAGCAAAAACTCGAATACTAGCCATCAAAAAGCTAACAAAAGCAATTGTAAAAATATAAATCAAATTGTGATGATCAATCTCGTAGTCTCCCTCACAATCATAATATATTTGCATGGTCTGATCTTATTCACTATCTAATAATTAGAGTTTACTGATTTTGTTATATCTTTTATGATATACGAGAGAAAGCGACACGAGATCATTGTGTAAAGGTCCAAAATTTTAAAGGAAATGAATTTATATCTTTGATACGGAAGCAAATAATAAAGTTAGAATTTATATTTATTACACAGTAAATTAGAATGCCCAATAAAATTACGAGAATGTCTTTTTTATATTGTTTCATAAAAAAAAGGACAAATAATAATTAAAAACAAATAAATAAATATCCTAGAAAGTCCGGAGGTGAACTACTTACAACTCTCTTGTTATCGAGATCTGAATCTTGATCTTCTTGATCTGATATGATTAATGAAATGGTGATCTATACTAGCCCAGTAAGAATATCGCACTAATAACAGATACGAAAAATTAAATGTTGATAAAAATCACAAAATAACTAATGGAACCATTGATTTAAGTAAATACATTTAACTCTAAAACATTTCATTCCATACTTACCGTTACGAGTTTTTCTGAAAACAACATATGAAGACAAATAACCAAGACATTTTAATTTCATGCATAAGATTAGTAATTCTTCCTTCAAGTAATTCTTCCTTGGAGGTTCATAGGGATATCTCTTTACTCGTAAACCCAGTATCTAGATTTGACAATTAACCCCACCGTTCTCATACCCCGTCCGGTAATAGACGCTAAAAATATCATCGCCTCAATATCCCGTCCGCTATAATGGTGAACTATATCTCCCAAAATTCTTCTGATATCAGACTTTTTAGCCCCGTCCAACTGAAGTAATGCCCACGGTAGGGTTCTCTATGTAACGGGTTCGTCTACCTTTTCCTAGAGTACTCAGTAAGCTTTCATTTATATAGATTCTCATAATCCAAAAAACTAGCAAACACATATTAACATCTCATTACATATTCACAAATTAATTTAAACGGCATCTAAGCGAGTGATATAGTTTAACATAAGCGAATTACCAAGTAATCAGATAACCAAATAAACAATGCAGGAGAAACCAAATAAATCATTAATCAAGAAAACCATCAAAAATATCAATTTAATATGCACAATATGATACCAGTAATTTAAGCAGTACAGGAAAATAAATAGAGATCAGGAAAAATATGAATTAACCGGTTCCAGCTCTACTAATAACTTATAATTATTTTTTTAAAACTTTTCTAATTTTTACAAAATACAAAATTATCAATTATTAATCCTCAATTTACCGTAATAGATAATAGGGTGATGGATCCTTACCCGAATCAGTATTTCAAAACATCGTCCTACTCGCTACATATCTTGACAAGGCCCGAGTTTCCTAAATTTTTTCTGTAAAAATTAAAATACTCGTTATGTACCCAAAAATATCTTAAAAACCCAAAATCAGTGTCGAAAATCCTTTCTGGCCAATTTGAGGATTCCGGCACGGCAGTGTTGCCGTGCTCTCGGGTAGGATCCACTGCCCACGATGGCAGTTCGCCTCGCCCTAGCTGGTTTTACACGTATCCTTGCGAAAAAATGCATTAGGAACCCCGGTTGGCCATAAAACAAAAAAACTAAACCTACCGACCGGAGGGGTCTCCAAGTACGGCAGCTTTGCCGGTTCTCCCTTGCAATTGAGTTTCTTCTTTGGCTAACCTGCGTAGAAAAGGACAGTGAACACAATGGCTAAAGAATCATGTGAAACGGGAAATAAGAAGGGGCTCGTCAAAGGGAGTTTAGAGTTTTGGCCCCGGCAGCTTCGCCAAATTTTGCCCACGATTTTTGACTCACCTGTCATCCCTTTTGCTCTGATATGGCCACAAGGAGACTCATAATTGAATTCTACGTGGGAAGAAAAAATTTTTACCTTTTATGGCGGTGGCTCCAGCGTCTAGCTCTTCTTCTCTGGTGAGGTAGGTGCGGCTAAGGTTAGGGTTCCTTGGAACGTGATGCTTAAATATCATCCCATGTCGATCTGGGTCGTCCATTTAGGTACGCGTGACCTTCTCTCATCCATTGGATCTATCCTATTCTAGAAATGAATCTGGACTGCACAATCGGATTAAATCTGACCATTCGATCACATTTAAAGAGGGAACACATCTGAACCATTCATGCGCACGTGATTAAATATGGGCTATCAGATTGCTGGGCACGCGGATCACTCGTGTGACTTCTCGCGTGGTGTCGATGTCAACGGAGTTGCCACGCGGCATGTTCTAGTTTGCTGGGACTGCTAACTGTCCTGTCCTACATGGCCAAACGTTTTTTTTTGTGTTTTAACCCTCTATTTTCAAATTTTCTTTCAAAAACACCTTCTAAATTCAAATTTTCACCCATTTTT